TAGCTTGTGTTTAAGGTTTTTAAGTGCAAGCTTTTTTCTAAACCCAAGAACTCCATAATCGAATTTCAGACATCTCAAAGTTAAGTTAAGTATGTAATATAAAAATGTTAAGTTTAACGTCGGCAAAGTGCAATTAAGTTTTCTATAATATTCATATGGTATTATTTGTTTCTTCTATTTATCGCATTTTTGGGGAAGTGAAGAAATAAAGAATATATTTGTGTTTCTGAATGTAAATTGTAAGACTCATGTGTACTTTTTTCAAAGATATACAAGAGATTTCAAGGTCTTCAACAAGATTTGTAAGGTCAAGACATCGGACTTGATCTATTTCTACCGAAATGTTAAGTAAATACGTGTGTTTGTGTTATTTTTCCAAGATATAATAATTGTCAAAGTGTGCATCGTTCCAACCAAAAGAGTTTCTCTTTTTTTTTGAGGACGTGAAGAGCTTTACGTATTGTCTACACACCTTGACTATCCTTAATTACAGCATGAACACATAACATCCGTAAAACAATACCAACGACAGAAACAGTTTACACTTAAAACAAAATTACCGATTATACCATAGCTGAGTCTTTATTCATTCACACATTTAGTATAAACAACTTATGCTGAAGCACACATTGTGTGAAATAACAGTATCCCTTTTGGAAAACAAAAATGTTCTTCGAATTGTGGTTGACTTTCAAAGTACTATCTATGTAGGTAGGCCTAGGTTTAGGGACAATACATTGTTTATTTACTGGTACGTATATGTGAGCCAACAATTTTCCATAATATATTATAAAAATAAAATGAAAACAACACTTTATTAATTACATGCGTCCGAAGCGCTTTTCTGGATTTACCTTCAGCAGGAACGCGCAAAGCCGAATATTTGAAAGCCGAGGATGTGCAAGAACATTAACAGTTGAAGAGCTATATAAAAAATGATTTCAACTTTTAAATCGTAAACTTCCAATTCCTATGTAGCAATATTTCAGGTTGCACTTCTGTAAATATAGACAATGCAATTTCCAATAGGAACTCCCTTTGCGGCTGAAGCTGTGCCACTTTTACTATGAAGTTTCGTAAAAAAATATATCCTAGAACGGAAATTTGATATGCACTACTTTTTAATTCAAAGGTCAAAACATAGGGCTGTCGGCATATTTTCAACATTTATATGCCCCGAACTTCTAAGAGTTTGAACTTGTACTAAAATTCTGTACTATCCCTACCTCCCCTCTGGGTGTCCCTCAGAATTCAATTATCGCCGCTACCATCTGATAGAGATCATATCTGGGAACCAGTACGTAAACAAAATTAAATATCTATGAATATTATATATCTCCCCAAAAGAAGCGTGGCATGTGCAGCAGCTGTATTTACAAAGTGCAACACTCAGCAGCGCCTAAATATGGAATATACATCTCCTATATGATACGATATTCCATAGATTACGTTTTTGTCAACTATTTTCCAAAATATCTTGCAAGCTTTAAAAAAAATGATTTCAACTTTCCAATCGTGAAATTTCTATTTCTATGTAGCAATATATAAGCAGCGCCTGAATACATGTCTCCCAATTGATACAATATTCAATAGCTTGCGTTTCACATCATATTTCCTGTATAGAAGATAGTGAAAACAAGAAAGATATTGATCCAAGGATTCCTAGTGGTAAAGTTGAAGTCATCCCTTCGGACGTTTTACGGGTGCCATCATGAGTTGGTTGACTTTTCAACTTAGGAATTTTGAATCTCCCTTTAGTATCTTCCGTCTCTTTTTGTTAACTTTAAATAATTCAATTATGGATGTAACACGTCTTCTGATTGACTGAAAGTTTTTTGTCTATCAGCCCATAGACATAATTTTGTCATTGTGACCGTGACGTCATGGAATTTATAATTAAATTGTAAGGAATGACTGTAATATTTTTCCTGTCTATTCGAAATAACCTACAAAATGCACACTTTTAAATAACACGCTACATGGGTTATTCAGTGTGCACCACATTTTTGATTTTGTTTCTTCATAGATAGAAGAAATATTACAGTCATTCCTTAAATAAAGTTTGCTTTCACGCTTTGAGAAAATCTTAATCTGTAGATATTGCAAGATAAAACTAAATACATGTTTTTGTAGAACTCTTTGAAAATACAAAAAGGGCAACCAGTAAATCTAAAATATGTGTACCTTTAAAGCGGCAACAAAGTATGACTGTTATACAAAGGTGTAATTATGGAATAGTCTTGAGATACCTTTTAGATTTTTTTTAACCTCAATGTTATAATGATCAAATAACTCTTTGCTCGATTTGCGCTACGTAAATATACACACTGTCGGGTAAATGTACGCGTAGACGAAACTTGCTAAAATGATTATATGATTTAAAACAAAAAACTCAACGGAATCCAAATCTATTTGCCTTCACGAATTATTCCTGGGCTTGAGAGAAGGTTTATGAAAACTTTAAAAGATAAAGTTTGTTTTAATAAAGTTTACAATAGGTTATTGACAAATTACATACTAAGTACAAGAATATGTCGTGAATTTGTGTAGTTTACACTGTCATAACCTTGTTTCTTATACTTTGAAATGATATGTGCAAATCAAACTAATGTTATTTCATCACGTTTATAGGTGTAGCTGCCGTTGTTTTGTTTATTCCATCACACGTTTTTGGATGCAGCTGCTGTAGTTTTGTTTATTCCATTAAAGGTTAATATTTACGTCATTAACACTTCGAGGGTAATTTAAAACGTAAAAGATTTTGTATCATGATTCCAATCCTTTTTACAGACACCTCCCCGTGAGATTCAACAATAAATGCCCGGGTCCTATTCTTTCTTCTACAATATTGAATTTAATAAAATGAATGTTTGGAGATTGAATATCCTAAACCATATATCTATTTCATCTATTCATTTGCATAGTACGTTAATATATTCGTATAACTTTTTAGAATTTGCAAAAAGAGGCGGAAAATACCAGATTGACACCAAACTCATAAGTCGAAAACAAACTAACAACTCCATGGCAAAAAATAAAAAGGACCAAAATGACAAACAACAGTATACAAAACACAATATTGAAAACAAAAGACTGAGCAACACCAACCTCACCAAAAACCGGGGTTGATTTCAGGTGCTCAGAAAGGTAAGCAAATTCTGCTCAACATGTCAAACTTTTGTATTGTGCCAATGTGTTGATACTAGTTTATATTGATCAAAATGTGTCTTTTAAAACACATTCAATTTTTTTTTAGTTACAAAATTCACTAGTAAAGAGATAAACTGAAAACAATTATGATCTGAACCAAACTTAAAACCCTGAGCAATAATCAGTAAACAAGTCTTGATCAGTATTTCAATGATTTCCAAGAAATATCCTCTGCGATCAACTCATTTATGTTCAGACACCTTACTTATGTTTAGTGGATGCTATGTACCGAAGCAAAATACGAAATACAGAACTGGTGAGGATTTTACAGATAAAAAAAACCTGGTTGACTGCAAACAGTCTTTCCGAACAGATATCACCTGTCGGGGAAACGTATTTTAAAACTAATTTCAACTCGTAACAAGACGAAATGTTTTTTTTAATCCAGATTATGTTCAGATACACATGGCTATTCTAGAGTAAGATTTCTTTCTAACAGATTTAAGAGTTCAGAGAGATAACTTCTTATTCAGCAATACACTTGTAAAGATCATTTTCATCATTGTTTTTTAGGCATTCATGTGAAATTAAATAAAATTAGACGCAGCAGTAGTTTACCGATGTTCAAATCTCATAAATCCATTTAAAAGATTCAAATCAAGGTGAAAACATGAGAGAATCGCATGACATCCAAAAGGTGGAAGAGCGGGTACGTCGACAGGGTGAGCGTTCTCTACTATGCATGCATCACCAGATGTGCGTATTCACTTGTTTCTTTGATTAACAGCGTTTGTCAGTTTTTATGGATTTCCCCTTTTTGAATTTGCCTTAGAGTTTGGTATTCTTGTTATACTTTTTCACACTCATAATGTCAAAATAAGGAATAGGACACAGTCGGTCAATTTACAGACTAGACGACTATTCAGGTATCTTAAATCATCAGACCGCGAAAACATGCTGCTAGTGAGTTGAGATGTCAATGTATATTTGTTCCGCCTAATAGAAGTGCCACTGGAACTTTTTTGTAAACAATACCATAATACATGTTCCTGTTGGAATACATATTCTATACCCTTTATTCCGCAAGGAACACATTTGGTAATATTTGTTCCAGTGTCGATCAACTACGGTGTAATTAGTGATTGTGACCGTAAAAATCATGAAGTGTCGATTTCATTCGTTAACCCTCATAACTGTTGGCGGGTGTAGTTTTTGTGTCAAGGACACACCCCTGTTAACGAAGTTTAAATTCATAGTACGAACATATAACGTATTAATAGAGATATGTTTACTTCACACGATGGGGCAGACGATATGTTACTGCTGAGAAATGGGGAGTTGACAATTGAAAAGTCAAAGTCCTCTCATTTATTATAGATTTTAGTTTCCTTTTGTGTGAATATCGCGACAAAGATCAATGAAGTAGGTTTTATAGTTTCAGTAGTACCTTAAACTCAGGTAAACTGGGTATAAGAGATGCAAGCACCCTTTAAAATGCTAGTTTTTAAGTGACAGGACATCATCAATATATCAGAAAATGAAACCAAAGCATTTTACAAGATGAGTTTTTTTTTTTTGTCTTTGAGTAAAAATACTAGTAGTCAGCATTTCTTTGAAGCATAAAAAAAAATTATGAACGTTGTTGACATACCAGTGATTTGCTACAGTTATATCTCTTATATCTTAGTTCTTGAAACAGTTCAGGAATACAGGTCAGTGTCACCGATTTAGGATGTGTTCTTCCAATTTAGATTATTTCCCTTTGAAGGAACGGCACTTAACAAATTGTATTCTTGTTTCCATATTTGTTAAACTAGCTCCATTGCAGGATTTTAAATAAAACCATGAAATATATTATAATCGCATTTTATTGTCAACAAATTTATTTAAAATTAAAATAACAAACACAATATCAAAACAATAGAGAGATACATAGTCTTCTGTGCGACAATTAAAATAGAAACTAAAGTTTGCAGCACTACCTTCTTTTTCTATCAAAATCCACTTTCTTACGTTCTGAAATGAAGAAACCCTGCGAGGTCTGCTAACATTTGGTAGTTAAAAGTATTGTACTATAGTATAAAATTACAAACTACTACAAATAAACAATTCTGAATTATTGTTAATTTTTTTGTATATAATTTTAGACAACATACATTAAACAATCTATGCAGATCAGAATCTAAAGCATTGAGAATTTCCCCAGAACCGGACATTCCTCTCGGATTCTTTTGACATTCTTGACATTAATTGACACCTCATACACAAACACGTTCGGGGTTGATGGGTACACGTGCCTGAAAGTCCAGCAGGACCAGAAGGTAAACTAGACTCTTCAGGTACAGGTGAATGAGTAGTCATCTCTGGCGGTTCTGGTGATGAAAATTCTTCCTCGGACAGAACTTCATCACCTCCTGACCATTTTGAATTAGCTGACGAAGTATTGCGTGATACCAATAGGTCATCCATGCATTCCGGAAATCGTGGGTATATGAGTGGTCTCATTTTTATTTGATCTGGGGCGGATGTTTTGCGTTTCCGCTTGACATTCTGTAACTCTGTGTTTATTTTTGACAATGTGCAGCTCGTTTTTCTTGTTTTCCTCTGTTTCTTTGTAGTCACTGAAGGGTAGAAGTGAGAAAATTAAAACAAATATATGAGTGTATATTTCAACCACCAAAACAAAAACTGGTTAGGAACAGTCCAGAAAACCTAGCTTAATCGGATTTAATAAACATACTATGTACCTTGGCAACAATCAACCGGCACTGCGATGTCATAGGAATTCGTATCAAGTGACATTTTGTTAAACATCTGTCTAGTGTTTCGAACAGGTAAGTCCAATAAGTGGAATTATTTTAAAAGATGTCAATTGTCCTTATGATTAGGGGATATAATTCCTTTAGATGATATTTTCATCCCCTTAAGGTGATATTTCATTATATTGCTGACGTTTTTTTTTATCCCAACCATGCCTTACTGCCTGACGCAATCACGTACATGTACATGTAACCAGTATGTGTAAAATGTGATCGCATACTGAGAAAGTGGATTTGTGAATATTTTGATGGTTACATATAAAACATTGTATTTGAATCTAACTTCAAACCAACCTTTGACATGATTGGTAGAACAGTTGCCTTGATGCCAAGATAGAGAACTAGACAACTTAATGTATAACTCACCTTTTTGTTTTATTCCAGATTTACTTTCCTCGTTGCTGATATCTCTCATACCGAAAAACAACATTCTATCTGTTATATCCTCCTGATTAAACAAACATAGAATCAAATGAAAAAATCTGATCCATGTACGATTCAAAATTTGCCGTTTTAGAATCTAAAGTATGATGTGTAGTATATTTGTGCAGAAAACCCTCAATGAAAAACTGTTAGTGTAATAGCTAATATCCATTGTTTAAAACACTGTTGTTCATTCACAACGCTTCAATATACACATTTTAAAATATTACACATAATTCATTAGAATCTGAAATGGCAAATTGACGTATATTGACGGTTATTTTGTTGAGTGAAATTTAAACAACAAACATTCAATATGTGTCATGTAATTTCTAAGTTAATATTTTATATAAAAGAAAATATATAAATTAACTGATAGAATATAGAATAAACCAAAGTGAAGAAAAAAAAGAAAAGAAAATATTTGGAGAGATGGCGTTTTATTGTTTTCATTTTTTTTTCAACCGTTAGTGCAATACACAATAACCTTCTTTAACTTTGAAATTAAATATCTTTTATGAATATGTTACCATATTAGGATTGTCACAATGTCCTTGTCTTCTGCTTCTCTCCGTCATTTTCTGTATTGAAGATCTGGTCAAGAAATGCTCCCTGGATAGAAATAAAACCACCATCATGATGAAAATATGGGCAATATCGTTTTGTTTTTAGTTTTTTATTAATCATAAGGACCTACATTTATCATAAATAAGGATATTTGTTTTAATTGAAACAGTGTATAAGGATTTTGAGGTTTCTTTTTATTTATTTTTTTTTGGGGGGGGGGGAGATAGAGTGTTAGTTTTAAAAAATATTACTGCGAACAAATATCTGTTTAACACTGGAGGTAAGAAGTCATATTTTTTATTCATATGGAATAGGTTTCTTTGTCCTGATCATTAAATTATTTTACAAAATGTTTCGGCACAATACCTTCTGTCCTTTTCTGAAATGGTTCAGTATATCTTGTTCCAAAAAATATTGAAAATGAACTCACTTATGAAACGTTACACCTATTAACATTAAAAATACAATTTGAAAAATATATTACTTATAGTCAATTATTTGGAATATATTATACAGTTATGATACTTACTTATTGCAGCAGGTCAGGCGTATGTACTGGTGCTTATTGAAAAGTTCGTCTTCTGATAAAGGGTTGATTTTTATTTTTAAACGAAAGACGATTGGAGCAAATGTAATCACGTGAACCTTCTTCATCTATTTCTATGGATCAATATCTTTACCAATATGACATCAGACAAAAGCTAATAATATACTAGTATGTTATCTCACGCCAATATGATAACTACTCTCAAATGAATTCACCTTCATTCTCGAAAAAAACCATACCTGTCTAGATTAGACAATTAAAATATTTTGGTTTGACATGTATATTCAAAAGTTGTTTATACTTTTTCTACCTTCCCTATTTAAAAGATTGTAATTTATACAATGGCTTGATACTAGAAGATATTTCAGATAACCATAATGTTACATATACCTTTTACAAATTTAGTGAAATCTCGTATGGTAATGAGAGGTAGGGCCAATTTGTCAAGGCCTTGTTTCATCCAAAGTCCATTTTCGAAAAGGAGTTCTCTCTGTTTATGATTTCAACAGAAGCACGGCTTAATATGCATTTTTCGAGGTTGTTTCAATATCAAGTAGTATAACTAAACATTTATAAATGAACAAGTGAAAATAGATGAACTACAATTTTGAAAGATTATGCCAAGGGTTGAGTATCTATAAAAGCAATGACCAAGATGGATGTTCTATATCAAAAGAAAAGATCTACAAGATGTTAAGTTGTGTCTTCTCTTTCAGAATGTTCCGATACAATTAAGGCAATAGTAGTTTACTGATGAAGACAAACACAGGTTACAAACACAGACTGAATGAGTTAAATGAACTTCAAAAAGAAAGGTAAGCTTCTCTTGCTATGCACGCATCAAAAGACTTTCAAATTTACAGTCAGTCAAAATATCTCAATCGGAATTGGACACAACCGGTATGATACAGATCGGATACCTATTGGAACGAACTGTGCGCCTCTCCAACATTGCCGACCTTTTCTAATTTTCATATGAATCGGAGTTCCTTCAAACACTTGTCAAAAACAAGAAGATCAAAGAAGCCAGATCATTTAATTTCACATTCAGATATATTGATTATGTTCTTTCCATTAACAATACCAACTTTTCTGATTGGGTTCCTTTGATATATCCTCCACAACTAGAAATTAAAGAAACAATAGACACGGCTTCCTCCGCCTTATTTTTAGACCAATACATCGAACTTGACATAAGCGGTCATCTCAGTACCAGAATCAATGACAAACGAGACGATTTTAATTTTGAAATTATAAATTCCCCCCACCTTAGCAGCAATATACCAACTTCACCTGCATATGGGACATAACATTTCCCAACTGATTCAGTATTCAAGAGCTTGCGGCTGCTACTCATACTTTATACCAGGATTATGTCAAAGAACGTCTCGTCCATTTTTTTAAAAAGTTCAGCGAAAGATACCAAGATCTTGTTAATAAATATTCCGTGTCAACTTCACAAATAATACATGATAGCCTCAAAGTACAGATTCTTGGTACTGACGTTGTTTATCATCTTTACTACGTGTCATAGTGTTCTATTTATTTGTCTTTGTATAGTTTTAAACTTATCTGTTTAGTCAATTATTGGTAATATACTTTTGGCGTGGCTCAATATGTATACATCCCGCCTGTGTTATTGTGCTATGGCCTTTTTGTATTCTTGTCTTTCATTTTTTTGCTTATGTGCTTTGTCTACAGAGTGTCTATATGCCATTTTGTTGTTCTTTGTTGAAAACAGAATTTGTTTTCATAGTGATTAAGATTATAACACAATGTTGACTGCTGTACCCCAATTTTTGAAATTTTTACCTATTATGTCTTTTGTTTTGCTCGCACATTGTTGTCAATATAATGGAATTCTAAGCGATTGTCATACAAGTGAGAGATTTAACTAGATATAAAACCGGGTTTAATCAACAATTTTTTACATAAGATAATGCCCGTACCATACAGGACTTTCGGTTTTGAATTTTCCTTGGAGTTCGGTGTTTTTGTTATTTTGCTTTATACTTTGGTATTTGAAGATCTAACCCTGGTAAAACATGACACGAGTGAGACACATACATATCGTATCATGTAACCAATTCGCTATAGCGACTGTAAAACGTATGAAGTGTCGATTTCAGTACTTCTTCCCCACAACTCTGTTAGAGCATTTTTTAAAGGAGCACACTCCTGTTAACGAATACGAATAAGAATATATGAAAACTTTATTTAGATTCGGTATGATTACAAACTACAAAACATAAGTTCAATAGATATTTTTACCAAATACATACAAACATAAACAACAACATTAAAACACAACCATGCAATCAAACTAAACAAAGAAGCACGCATAAAAGTAAACACAGCACAAACATGACAAAGCTAATTATACAGGCTAGCCTAACTATAAAAGGACAAAAAAAATGTAAAATAAGCCCACTGATATAAAATAAAAGCTTATCTAAATGCAGAACAGCGACATTCCGAGATTCGTGTTGCTCAGTCTTTAGTTTTCTATATCGTGTTGTGTGTACTAGTGTTTGTCTTTTCATCATTTGTCGTTTTTTACCTAGGCATTGCCAGTTTTCGACTTATGAATTTGAGTATCCCTTTCGTATCTTTCGCCTCTCTTTTTTATGTATATTTCACCAAATAATTCAAAGTGGTTTTGATCACAAATTCCTCAACTGTCAAGCTGAATAAATAAACTCATCATAGATCCCAGGATGGAAGTTTTGAAAACCAGATGCGCGTTGGTATCTGTCGCCTGCATTTCAGGACTGTATAAGCCTCTTGAACTGAGAAAAACTGTTCGTCCTAAAATGTCCCGGAAAACTGTTTCACAATGTAGTAGCAGCTCACCGTAAGTAGTAGTTTTAATATATGGTATATCAAATATATTGTTATATCTGAAAGAATATTTCGATTGTTTTACTTTAAATAAGTTTTGTAAACATACAGCTGATAAGTAATTAATATTTTTTAAACGTTTCAATTATCATTGTTCTCATTCATTTGACTTGCAGAGAAGACATCTTCGTTTTTTTTTCAGGTAAATTATTATAGAAATGTCCTCATATACAAAACGTTTTCCTTCTTTTTTTTTTGTAATTTTCTCTGTGCATAAATGCCATAACAAAGGGCAAATGTTAAAATTACTCAAGATGAATAGGATTTTTTACCAACCGCCAAAATTTTAAATTTATCAGTGTTTGCTTGCATCTTATTCACCTTGAACCAATTTATTAGTGACTCAGATTCTATTAATGAAATTACACTATTATAATCAGGGTTTCAATAGGAAAGGGTATAATCATATGCATACTTGTACAGTAATCCCTTTTTGATAAATAAAAATATATCATTTATAAAGATGTTGAAAAGGAGGCGCCCAGGATAGATCCTGAGAGTACCCCTTTCTGGATGTCAGCCCAGCCAATAAGACATAGTTCAATTTCATATTTTGCTTTCTAACAGATAAGTATGCTTTTAGAATAGAAAAAATTGAAAACAACACGTTTAATAATTTCATGCGTCCGAAGCGCTTTTCTGGATTTACCTTCATCAGGAACGCTCAAAGCCAAACATTTGAAATCCGAGGGATGTATAAGTACCGAAACAGTTGAAGAGCTATATGACAAAAATTCCTAAAACAAATAGCCAAATCCATCTAAGGTCAACTTTGCCTGAGGGAGTTGAAACCTTAGTTTCTTTATAATTTCAAAAAAATTGAAATTGAATGACAATTTGTCAACTCTTTTTTTTAAATAGGCAGGATACTGACTGGCCTGTAACTTGATTTGTCTAATTGGCTAATATTCTTGTGTAGCGGTGTAACTTGAGCGTCTTTCCATCTTTCAGGAAAAACACCTGTATATATTGATATGTTAATCAATGATGTCAGATGAGATGAAACAACAGATTTACTACATTTGAGAACTTTAGCAAGTACACTTTCAACACCAGTAGCATTTTTGGCATGTATTTTCTCAACTTTGTCTGGTGTTTTTTTCTGGAAACTTAAGTGGATGTTTCCACTGTGATTGTTTATTTCCGCAATGCTATGGTGATTAGATTGCTCATATATCACATCATTCCCGATCATATTGGCAACAGTAGATAAAAAGCATTAAAATGTCTTGATACCGTTCAGTATCATTAAATATTTCATTTTATTTGTAATTAAACCACTCTTTGTTCACCAGAATGGAACTTTTTAGAGAAAAAGGGTTAATTGTGGATCTACTAGAGCAACATTCTAAAACAAAATGTTCATACATTTCTTTTAAAGCTTGATATGTGTTTGCTGTTGAAGGCCGAACCGTGATATTTATATCCTTGTACTTTAATCCCTAGTTGACAATAATACCGCATCGCTTTATTTTTATTAAACATGTCAACATATGACAATATCAACAGCAGTGTGGTGCATTGGATAACAATTTGATTTTACTAAAAAATGGAAAATTGTTATAAAAATACTTTCATATTGTGGATTTCT